ACAAGATTTCAAACACAGCAGGCACCTGGAAGCAGAAGCTGCTGTAGAGGCCAGGGAAGAAAGAGCACTGCTTACTGGCTTTCTTCCCATGGAGTGTTCACCCCTGCTTTCTTACATAGTTGAGGACCACCTGCCCAGGGCTCGCACCACCCCCAATGGGCTGGGCCCTCCCTCAATCCCTAATTAAGAAAATGCATTATAGGCTTTCCTATAGCCTAATTTTTTTTTTTTTTTTTTTGGTTTTTCGAGACAGGGTTTCTCTGTGGCTTTGGAGCCTGTCCTGGAACTAGCTCTGTAGACCAGGCTGGTCTCGAACTCACAGAGATCCGCCTGCCTCTGCCTCCCGAGTGCTGGGATTAAAGGCGTGCGCCACCATCGCCCGGCTCCTATAGCCTAATTTTATGAAAGCATTTTTTTAATTAAGGCTCCTTCCTGAATGACTCTATCTTGTGTTGAGTTGACACAAAATTAACCAAATCTGTGTATTTTCATTTCTCTCAGAGTATAGTTATGTTTCCTGTCGCTGTGAAAAAAAAATACCTAACAAAAGTACTTACATTCACATATATACATATATAAACACTAATGGATAGATAGGATAGACGCATATAAGAGAGGACATGCAGCATTTGTATTTCTGAGTTTGGGTTACCTCAATAATTTCCAGTCATATATATTTCCTACAAATTTTTCATAATTTCATTTTTCTTTGCAGTAAAGTTCCATTGTGTGTATGTTCCATTTTCATTATTCACTCATTCCCGTTACCCTGCTGTGGTGGCTAGACTAGCAATAAACATGACTGTACAAGTTTATGGTGGGGATGTAGAATCCTTTGGTTAGATGCTCAGAAATGGTATAGCTGTGTTAAATGGCAGTTGTCTTTTGTCATCTTTTGAGAAGCTGCCACAAGGATTTCCAAAGTACCTACAGTCAATAAAGGCTCCCCTTCCCCCACCAGATCCTTGCCAGAATTTATTTATTTATTTATTCATTCGTTCGAACATTTTTTTTTTTTTTGAGACAGGGTTTGTCTGTATATTCCTGGCTGCCCTCACTTTATAAACCAGATTAGCCTCGAACTCACAGAGATCCACCTACCTCTACCTCTCCAGTGCTAGGATTGAAGGTGTGCGCCACCACCATCATCAGACTCTGTTTTCTTAATGATAGTCAATTAGCCAGTGACTCAGAATGTCAAAGTAGTTTTAATTTGCATTTCCCTGATTCCTTAACCATTTTAAATTGGGCTTTTTACATTTTTGGGTTACAAGGATTCTTTTTATATTCTAAATGCAGCATCCTTATAGAATATGTGATTTGCATATATTTTCTCTTTCTGTGGATTTCCTTTACATTTCTATTTATGTTCTTTGAAGAACTAAAGTCTTCTGTTTTAACTTCCATTTTCTATTTTTTCTTATGTCATTCACATCTAAGAAATTGTTGTCTAAATCAATGCCACAAAAATTTAATGCTGTTTTGGACTATACACTATATTTTAACAATTTTATTAAAATAGCTTTAGCCCTTACATTTGGGGCTATGATTGTATTAGGAGGGGGAACTCCCTAAGACCATCTCCAGCCTCAGTAATTTACTAGGAGTCACAGAATTAATCACATAATCATAAAGGTATGATTAGTACATCAAAAGGATAAACAAAATCAGCAAAAGAAAAGGTACACTGGGTGAAGCCCATGGAAAACCACACAAGATTCTAGAGCGCTCCCACAGCAGAGCCATAGAGGATGCATTACAACCCCTCCAGTGCCCTGTCACAGCGTAAGTGCAGTGCTGTGAGCAGAATAGCTAAAGACCCAGCGCAGAACCCAGGCTCTTTGTTTGGGACTGGTCATGAAAACAGCCTCTGTCCGGCATATCCCCAAACTCCAGACTCCCAGGAGGAAAGCAGATGTTGGACATAAACTGCAGTGTTGACATAATCCCTCCCAAAGGCCACATTTCCACACTGCAGCCCAAGTGCCAGACCTGTAAAAATGACTTGCCAGAACAACATTCCTGTGTTCTGGTCTGCCTTGTTGACTCTATTTTTAACCACTCTCAAGGGCAGGCCCCATGGCAACATAAATGTACTCCATGAATTTTTTGGTTTTGAGTTTTTGGTGTTTTATTTTTCTGTAGATGTAATGTTTTGTTTGGTGTGGGGATTTTGTCTTACTCGCCTTTTGCTTGTTTTGATTTTCCTTTTTGTGGTTTTATTTGTCTCAGGGCTCTTTGTCTTTTTTCCCCCAAACAATTCCTTTGGGCTCTCATATTTGCATACGGTGTGCAAAAGCGTGCAGCTTCATTCTTTAGCATGTGGATGGCCACTTATTTAGCACCATTTGTTTCAAACACAATTTCTCTCCCTTCTAATGCTCTCGGAACTTTTAGTGCCTTCACTGTCGTCCATCGTGGACTCTTAACCCTCTGGAACCGGAGCCCAATTAAATGCTTACTTTTATAAGTTGCCATGGTCACAGTGTTTTATCATAGCAATAGAAAAGTAGCATACAGAGACTTATGTTAAAAGTCATAGACAGATAGAAGTTAGATTAAAGCCGATAAACAGACAATGTCCTGTATTATTGGTATTTTTATCATTGCTACTCTGAATCACCAGAGTACTTTATAAAATGATTGTACATTTCCCCAGGGAAGAGCACAACAATTAATTATCCACTATCAAATGGTCAGCCCTAAAAACATACATTCGAGTAACATTATACAGACTGAATAGGTTGTATTTTTTATTGATTTTGTTGAACTATGCATTTTTCTCTGCTCCCTTTACTTCTCCCCTCCCCTGCAACCCTCTCCAAGGTCCCCATGCTCCCAATTTACTCAGGAGATCTTGTCTTTTACTACTTCCCATGTAGATTAGATCCATGTATGTCTCTCTTAGGGTTCTCATTGTTGTCTAGGTTCTCTAAGGGATTGTGATTTGTGGGCTGGGTTTTTTTCTATTTATGTTTAAAAACCACTTAGGAGTGAGTACATGTGATAATTGTCTTTCTGTGTCTGAGTTACCTCACCCAAAATGATGTTTTCTAGATCCATCCATTTGCCTGCAAAATTCAAGCTGTCATTATTTTTTTCTGCTGTGTAGTACTCCATTGTGTAAACGTGGCACACTTTCCTTATCCATTCTTCAGTCGAGGGGCATTTAGGTTATTTCCTGGTTCTGGCTATGACAAACAAAGCTGCTATGAACATAGTTGAGCACATGTCCTTGTGGCACGATTGAGCATCCTTTGGGTATATACCCAAAAGTGGTATTACTGGGTCTTGAGGAAGGTTGTTTCCTAATTTTCTGAGAAATTGCCACACTGATATCCAAAGGGGCTGTACCAGCTTGCATTCCCACCAGCAATGCAGAAGTGTTCCCTTTTCCCCACAACCTCTCCAGCATAAGTTGTCATCAGTGTTTTTGATCTTGGTCATTCTTACAGGCGTAAGATGGAATCTCAGAGTTGTTTTGATTTGCATTTCTCTTATGACTAAGGATGTTGAACATTTCCTTAAGGGTCTCTCAGCCATTTTAGGTTCCTGTGTTGAGAGTTCTAGAGCAGGTTGTATTTTATATTTAGAATACATATATGTATATGATGACAATTAAAAAGAGGCCACCAATTTGAAAAGGAAGCAAAGAGGGACATATGGGAGGCTTTGAAAGGAGAAAATGGAAGGGGGGAATGAAGTAATTATACTATAATCTCAACAAATAAATGAAATAATTTTAAATGTTTATACAATGTTACAACCCTGCAAGCTGTAGTCACATCGTTACTTTGGCTTTCTCGTTTTATAGAGTATTTACTATTCTCTTTGCTATATGTTAGAGCGTGCAGGTTTTCAATTTAAAATATAACTGTTATGATACTTGATCATAGGGGCAGTGATCACTTTGGATTTACTTTTTTTCTTCTCCCAAGTCACCTGCAGCCTGTATTGCTGCAAGTAGTGGATCCTTTTTTACTGTGGATGGTCAACAGACATCTAAAGATAGTCGTCAAGGTCAATGGCAACGGCGGAGAAGACTAGATGGAGCACTAAATAGAGTACCAATCGGATTTTATCAAAAAGTATGGAAAATTTTGCAAAAAGTGAGTGTAACACAGTGTTGTTCTTTATTCCCCTCTTAAAATCATGAATCTGTCTTGCTGACATGTGGCATAACCATTACATGACAAAAACAGGAAAAATTGATTGATCACTGTGGCATTATTAATAATTTACTCTATTGTTCTTATTGTTGCAGTAGTATTTTTTCTTTTTCTTTTGTTTTCTTTCCCCTTTCTGGTATTTTTGAGACAGGGCTTTTCTGTAGCTTTAGAACCTGTCCTGGAACTACCTCTTGTAGACCAGGCTGACCTCAAACTCACAGAAATTCACCTGTCTCTGCCTCCCGAGTGCTGGGATTAAAGGTATGAGTCACCATCACCTGGGGGTATTGTTTCTGAATAAGGTTTTAAAAATCAGAACCTCTCTGTTTGGGGTCATAGTTGAGCACTGTGAGATTTTGCACTGTATTTGCTGCCAGTCAATAATGTGATGCTGTGGCTCGCTTTCTTTGTTGTTATTATGAGAGTGGAAATGTTATTTGCAGCTCTAAGCTGTTCATATCCATTGTCACTACCAAAAGTAGGTGGAAGCAAGAATGGTGGCACACGCCTTTAGTCCCAATACTCCGGAGGCAGAGGCAAGTTGATCTTCGAGAAATCCTGTCTCGACAAGGAAAACAACAAACAAACAAAACAGTGAAGTATATGGGGAGTTTGCAGAAGTTGCTCTTACTGATATTTTTTCTTAGATGAAAACCACTAAAGTAATAAAAAGCTGCAATGATACTAGCAGTTAAAGAACACTCTTGTTTTATTGTTAATTTTTTATATTTAATCATTTTATATATGTGTGTGTATACACACACATACATACATACATGCATTCATGTGTGTGTGCATATGTGGTACCAACAGAGGACAGAAGATGTCATTGGGTCCTTTGGAACTAGACTTAGAGGAAGTTGGTTGTGAGCCATCATGTGGGTACTGGAGACTGAACTTGAGTCTTCTGCAAAAGTAGTAAGTGCTCTTAACCTTTGAGCCAACTCTCCAGCTCTGATTTATTTATTTGGAGACAGGGCTTTGTTATTGTCCAGGCTGGCCTCCAAATCAAGATCCTCCCACCTTAGCTTCCTGGAGTCCTAGGATTGCTGGCATGCACCACCACTCCAGGCCTAAATAAAACTCTTGGTGTGATTAATATTTGTTCCTGTTTCTAAAGCATACTTTATAAACGACTTGTAAGGGCATATCACGTCATTATGGTAGTGATAGGAGACGGCCAGGAAGACCATTAAGTTCATTGATTGGTCTCATTTATACAAATACAGATTGGTTTTTCTCGTCTGAGATGAGTCTCATATATCTCAGGCTGGTCTCATTGTAACCAAGGATGACCTTGAACAGATGCCCTGCCTTTACCTTCTGACTGCTGGGATTACAGTTGTGAACTACCATACTCATTCATTCATTCATTTATTTATTTTACCAAAATCAAAACCCAGACTTAGGGTCTTTTTTTTTTAAGTTTATTTATTTATTTAGTATACAGTGTTCTGTCTACATGTATGCCTGCAGGCCAGAAGAGGGCACTAGATCTCATTATGGATGGTTGTGAGCCATCATGTGGTTGCTGGGAATTGAACTCAGGTCCTCTGGAAGAGCAGTCAGTGCTCTTAACCACTCTCTCCAGCCCCCCAGACTTAGGGTCTTAAAGTAAGAGATAGAACACATGCCTTTCCAGGCATGAATGTTACAATAATTCTAACATGTTTCAAAGCTACTAATTGTCTGTACAGAGATTACTTGAGTATGGAATATTGCATGTAATTGTCCAAAAGAGCCAATAAACCTGTCACTCATATGTGGTTGCTTTATATAGTGTTTCGGCATTTTTGGAATTTAAAGTATGTGATTAATAGAGTAAAGAATTTGAATGTATCTGTTGATTCAGGTATGGTGCTTCACACACGTACTTGAAGGCACTAGGGAAATGAAGGCAGGACTTCAGTGTTCAAGGTCAACCTCAGCCACATAGTGAATTTGAGACAGATTAGGTGACTTGTAACCACGTCTCAAATAATAATAATGATGATAATAGCATTTATTGAGCACCTACTGAATTCCAGACTCTGTTGTAGGTGTTCCTATGAGAAAAGTCTAAATAGCCAATAATTTCTGTTCTTGTGAAACTTATATTACTTATAATAAGTAATAAACAGTAAATAATGTATTTAAAATGTTAAAAAGTGGCGGAAGAATAGGACAGGATAAGAGCATTAAGAAGGGACTCAACTACAACAAGTAGAAATGGCTCACGTACATTAATATCTACTGTGAGTCATGTCCGGCAGCCTCAGTCTCTTGAAGGCCTATCTGCTTTCTTAAAAGTGTGTGTGTGTGTGTGTGTGTGTGTGTGTGTGTGTGTGTGTGTACATGATCGTGCATGTGCGTACGCACACTATGGTAGGAAGCACATACCATAGCATACATGTGAAGGTCAGAGTACAACTTTGTGGAGTAGGTTCTCCCTTTCCTCCCTTGCTTGGGATTATGGGAGTAATCTCTTTTTATTGGACTTGCTTGGCTGTTGGCAAGGACTTTTTATCTGTCAAGTCATCTTGCCAGGCCTTGAAGGCCTCCTGGTAATGACTCTGGGACCTGCATGATACTCTTCTAGGTGGTCTCTGAATCTGGTGTCTAGTCTATCCCAGAAAGATTGACCCTGCCCACTCCACTACCCTAAGAAGAGGATGAACTATGGTAGTCCCATCCTAAATCTTGGCACTTAGAAATCATGAACCCATTCTTGGGCACATGGACTACAGGACCTCCAGCTGGCCTGTGGTTGCTCAAATCATAACCTTATTAATATGAAGTCTCTCCTTCTTGCCTCCCAGCTCTTACTTCATCTCTGGTCATAACATGTTTTTCTACCTTGCAGTGTCATGGACTTTCTGTGGAAGGTTTTGTTCTTCCTTCTTCAACCACAAGGGAGGTAAGATTCTGTCCTTTACATATACATGATGGAAAGCTCGCCTGTCTGAAATATTTCAGTTATCAATTATGAAATTGATATTTATTGAATTTATATTATTGAAACTAAATATATCAGTTAGTTGTCAAAGAAACAGACTTATCCTTTTATGAATCAATTATAGTGGTATATTATTTGTGTTTTAATAAATAAAGCTTGCCTGAAGATCAGAGGGCAAAGCAGTCATACTAGTGAGCCATACAGGCCAGGCAGTAGTGGCGCACACTTTTAATCCCAGGACTTGGGAGATAGACACAGGGATCTCTGTGTCAAGGTCACCCTGGGCTATATGAGATTGAATCTATCTAAAAGAGAAACAGAGCTCACACAGCATTTGGGATCGCACACCTTTAATCCCAGCACTAAGGGGGTGGAGAAAGGAGCAATATGGCTGGGCAGAGAGAGGAATATAAAGGGGAAGACACAGGAACTCAGTGGAGTCTGAGCATTGTGGTCTAGAGCACTGCAGGATCACCCCTTTGTCTGAGCCTTGGTAGAGGTAAGATCTCTCTAGTGGCTGGCTGCTTTGCTTTTCTGATCTTCAGCTTGAATCCCAGTATCTGTTTCTGGGTTACTACTCATGCTGCAGTCAATTGACTATAAAATGCATGAAGGAGGTAAAAATGGAATGGGAATATTAGACAATAATAATATGGTTCTAGTTTTGCTGAGCGAGCATGAGGACTTGAGTTTGCATCCCCAGCACCCATGTAAAATAAAAATGGGCATGGCTGTGCAAGCCTGTAATGCCAACTCAGATGTAGTGACAGGTGCATTGCAGGTGCTTGCTGGCCAGTTAGTCTAGCTGAAATGGAATACTCCAGGTTCAGTGAGAGACCCTGCCTCAAAAAAAAAGATGGAAAACAATTAAGAAAAGCATCTCATGTCAGCTTCTGGCTTCCACATTTACCCACCTACATACATGTATATAACAGACACATACACACCATAAACATGGATAATTATTTGTTTTATTAATAAGAATAGCTTTTTGCAGTGACTAAGTTTTTTCTACGTGAGACTGGAAGTTGGAGAAGGCAAAAAGGCTACAAACATAAGAATGAATGGCTTCCTATATTGTCTCATCTATTTCACCCCAACCTTTCTCCAATAGGATACTTGTAGACCTGTGCTGATATTGACATCTAATCATATTTTAGAGCAGTGGTTCTCAACCTTCCTAATGCTACCACCCTTTAATACAGTTCCTCATGTTGTGGTGACCCCCAACCATAAAATCATTTTTGTTGCTATTTCATAATTGTTATTTTGTTAGTTATGAATTATAATGTAAATATCTGTTATGTGACCCCTGTAGTAGACTTTCTTGGACTGCCAGCCCCCAAGTCATGGCATGGAGACTTATTATTAAGTATGAATGCTAAAGCCTTAGTTTATGCTTGTCCCACTAGCTCTTGTAATAACCTGTTTCTCTTCATCTGTGTTTTGCCTCAGGGCTTTTTACCTTTCTTTCATTCTGTATGCCCTACTTTCCATGCTTCTGCATCTGGCTGGCTGGTGATGTCTGACTGGGTGGCCCTGATGTCTCCCTCTCTTTCTCCATAATTCTCATTCTTTCCCTACTTTCCTCTCCCTCCTCTATCCTCCCTCTCCCTCTTCTTTCCTCCTCCATCTCCGTCCTCCCACTCCCTCCTCCCTCTCCCGTCTCCATCCTCCCTCTCCTTCTTTCCTCCTCCGTCTCCGTCCTCCCACTCCCTCCTCCCTCTCCCTTCTCCATCCTCCCTCTCCCTCTCCTTCTTCCCTCCTCCGTCTCCGTCCTCCCACTCCCTCCTCCCTCTCTCTCTTTCCTCCTTTCTCTTCCTCCTCTCTCTCCCTCTCCAGCCTAGATCTCTCCTCCTACTTATTCTCTCTGCCTGCCAGTCCTGTCTGTCTCTCTTCTGCCTAGCTATTGACTGTTCAGCTTTTTATTAGACCAATCAGATGCCTTGGGCAGGCAAAGCAATACATCTTTACACTGTTAAATGCAGCATAAACAAATATAACACACCTTCACATAGTTAAAGTAATATTCCACAACAGAGCCCTCCCCAAGGTCACTACCCACAGGTTGAGAACCTCTGTATTAGAGTAACTTTCTTTCCCAACTTAGTGAATTAGAGTTTCCAGAGAGGAAACTTGAGCATTTGTAATTTTTTAATCTATAGACTAACACTGATAAATAATCATGGTTGGAAGACATTGCCATGAAACACAGACACTGGTTATCAGATGTTTTGGTATTTTGTACTAACAAGCTAGGACTAGTAAGTTTAGAAAATATAAAATTCTCAAAAACTGGTGGTGGTGCCAGTATCAGCTGGATGTGCCAGGACTGAATGCTAGTGTAATGTCTTAGACCTCTACTGTTGCATACAAGCCGTTTGTGTAATAAAGAATGCCACACTGCCTGCGTAAACAGGTGTATTCTGTGCATTTAAACAGTGTTGAAATATTAATTGTAAAAATGTAAACCTAATACCTTTAGGAGTCTTCAAAGAACTTTCACATTATTTAATTTGATTTTTCAGTTCAATTTTGTAAGACACCTAAGAAGAGAATGTCTTTCTCAGAAAGTTTATAGATAAGGAAACAAGCTTAGAGATTTCCAAGATATGCAAAGTCATTTGCTCCTGATACAAGTTTTTAACCTGTCTTTAGACTCCAAATATACTTGCTTCTATAGAATATAAACAATACAATTTTACCAAAAAGCATTTCTCCATCTACTTTACCCCAAAATAACTGCAGTTAAAATTTTTTAAATTTTTAAAATGTGCATGAGGGTTTTGCCTGCATGTAGGTATGTGCACCACATGCATGCCTGGTCCCTGTGGAAGTCAGATGGAGTTGTAAGCCACCTGAAATGGTTGATGGAATTGAACTCAGGCTCTCTGGAAGAGCAATCAGTGCTCTCTTAACCACTGAGTCATCTCTCCAGCCCCATAACTGCATTTCTTAAGGTCCGTTTTATTCTAACAGTCTGTAGCTACTTCACATAATTCTACTCATTATACACACACACACACACACACACACACACACACACATATCATTTCAAGTTTGACTTCAGTGCTTTCTCTCTGGGTCATAGATTTAGTGTCATAAATAGCTTCATAAAGCCTCATGAAGTTACTATAGTATGTCATAATTTATGTATTTATTGCCATGTTTAGGTTATGTCAAGTTTCACATGTGTGACTGATGCTACCATAAACATTAGTACACATGGAGCTTTTTCTTCTCTGGATTATTTCCTTAGGACAAACTCCCATAAATGATATTCTGGGTTAGAGGGCATTGATACTTTTTTTTGGCATTGATACTTTTATGACTCTTGTTATACATTACCAGATTGTGCCAATTTACACCATTTCATTAAAGGGCTGCAGTTACCGGACTTTTTACTGCTTTTCAAAGAAAAGGTTTTCTAGAAATTGATTTTCACTTTTTCTATCACAGATGACCCCAGGCGAGATTAAATTCTCTGTCCATGTGGAGTCTGTCCTGAATCGTGTACCTCAACCAGAGTACCGCCAGCTTCTGGTTGAAGCTATCCTTGTCCTTACCATGCTGGCAGATATTGAAATTCATAGCATCGGAAGCATCATTGCTGTGGAAAAAATAGTACACATTGCCAATGACTTGTTCCTTCAAGAACAGGTAGGCTGCCTAATGTGATGCACACTGCAGTCACAGCATCTGGGAGTTGCAGGCAGGAGGATTGGCAGTTCAAGGCCAGCCTCAGCTACATAGTGAGTTCAAGACAAGATTGGGCTACATGATACCCAGAACATACAACAAATGTTTCCTTCTCTTACCCACTGTGAAAGAAGACAAAAGTATCCAAAATTTTCTAAACAGTCCTAGTTTTAAGTGTTCTGGGATGTTATCAGGCCATATATGAGAAAATATAAACCATTTTAGACATAGACTTGAGATTTAGAATGTCTACAGTGTTTGTGAATTCAGGTGGTTTAGAAAGAAATAGAACCAAATACTATATGGAGGAATACAAGCCAAAATCAGCAGTACTAGAAGGTGGAAGTCCCGGTGTAGTTCTACTGGGTTATCTCCAAGTGTTAACATTATTTCTGTTATTAACAGACATAAATCATTTAATCAATTATTGATATTTAATTTTCAAAAGTGCTTTATAATAGAAAATTCTAAGTAGTAATTAAAATAATTTAGAGTCTAGTGGCAAATGCCATGTGTAGAAATTCATATCCATCCTTCATAACCCTAAGCCCCCTCTGCTTATACAGCCAAAGAATAGGCAATGGGAAGGAAGCTCTGAGGTGTATTCATCAGAGTTTGGCTTGGTAGGATTGGTAACCTTTTCTTCCCACTGTTTTCCCATCTTTTAAAACCAAATAGAAAACCCTTGGCGCAGATGACGTCATGTTGGCAAAGGATCCTGCATCTGGCATCTGTACTCTTCTGTATGACAGCGCACCCAGTGGCAGATTTGGCACAATGACCTACCTCTCCAAGGCAGCTGCTACCTACGTGCAGGAGTTTCTGCCACACAGCCTCTGTGCCATGCAGTGAGGGCTGTGGGTTCTGGCTGCTGGAATCCTTTCAGCATCTGGTCCCTGTGTTGGTTGATTGTGCATGGAACTGAAATGTTAACACCTGACCACTCTCCATCCCTCCCAAGAAGAGAGAACTTTGCTGATAATCTCACTACTTTTGAAGAAAAGAACCCTCACTTGGAGACTCACTCCAGTGTAAAGGTTCAACTGGGTCTACAATCACTATCCTTGCTTCTTTTATGGTTCAGAAATGTCTGCATGTGTTTTTACTCTGTAGAACTGTTACCAGCTTTGTTTTCTAACTCCTTTTGAGGAACAGGTATTAATAAGTTATTCTGAAGACCTTATTCTTATTTCTGGGCTTCCTTTCTTTTTTGTGTATATGAGTGGTAGGTCTTAATTGGGTCATTATTTCAAGAGAGTAGATGCTAAATTGTTGGATTTTATACTGCTGTAATTTTGAAATGTCTATTTTAAGTGCCTTAAGAAACACCAACACCAGATCATGGCTTCCTTCTTCACTCGAAGGCTGATTCATTTTGAGTGGTGAAATAGTTTCTTTGTCAAATATTGCCTTTTGATGTTGACCTTTCTATATCTGCCCATGTTGCCTGCTCTGTGGTGAAATATTAAAAAGTGTAAGCTCACATGTAAGTTTAAGGATTTCTATGTTAATACTTGAAGTCACATTTTATGAGGACTGATGCTACCAGGCACATATTTGAGGACACATGGAATAACCCAGAAAAAAATGGAGCCAGGAGCCCAATTCCAGAGAGGAAGGGAAAGGGGAGGTTATGCAGGTGGTGCTTTACACACAGGGAGTCAAGAGACCACCAGAGGCAAGTAGGTTAATCCTTGCTGGAGCACAGCCCACATACAACACAGAGAATAACTGAAGCCTTGAGCAAAGAGAAACCCAGCAGTCCAGTCGGAGCACCTCTTTCCTGTTCTTTTGTTCTCCACCTCACCTATTCACACCCCGCCACACTCAAATCTCTCCTTCTCATCTCCCTCCTATCCCATATCTGTTCTTCAATTCTTTCACCTATGTTTGTTTTCACTTCTCAGTTATACTACTTATATCCTTTAATCTTGGTATCTGTGGCCAAATATCTATTCTTATACATATTTCTGTGTGTTTGTAATGGTTAAATAATTGTATTTTGAGTGTGTCTGTCCATCTCTACATTTAATGGATTGAATAACCATGTGGGTAACATTGCAAACCAAGCCTGGTCATACTCATTGCTAATCTGAGAACTTGAGAGGCTGAAGCAGGAGGATCGTGAGTTCAAAGCCAGCCTGGGCTACAAAGCAAGCTCCAGGCAAGCCTCAGTATGAGACCCTGTCTTGAAACATTTTAAAGCATGGGAGCTATGCAGCTGGCCTCAGATTGACACACAAAGGATCGCAAAAATATACCTTCCATCCCATTCTCTGGTCCCATGTATAGGTAGCCTGGCTTAGCAGAGGTTTTCTTTGTTTTCCTTGTTTCTACTCGACTCCTCTTTCCCTCAGAGTTTTAAGGGTTTTCTCCCAGAACAGTAATGAGTATGATGGGGCTAGTGAACTCAAAACAGTCACAGAATCGGGAACAGTCTTCCAGGCACACTGTCCAAATGCAGTGAGCTAGCAAACGGGTGGTAGAAGCAAAGGCAGGGTGGCCCCCTTTCCCCTCTCACAGCCATGGGAACACACAGTGAATAGCTTTCTGAGTGCATGGTTTTCCGGTCACTTTTGAGGAGAACATACAACCTGTTTGTCTCTTCACAGCCTATAAGTACCCTAGTCACGGGAAACACACCCAGCACTGCTTGTGGGAACTGCCGCTCCTTCCTGGACCTCTTTTCTTGAACTGACTCCAATGCCTGCAGTTCTCTGGAGTTTCTGACTTGTCTGTTGATGGAAAGCCCAGGCAGTGGCATTTAATTTCTAAAGTAACTTTCCAGAAAACATTACTGGTATTTTGTTCTTTTTTTCTTTTGTTCTTATTTTTTCGAGACAGGGTTTTTCTATGTAGCTCTTCATGTCCTGGAACTCACTCTGTAGACCAGGCTGGTCTCGAACTCACAGAGATCCGCCTGCCTCTGCCTCCCGAGTGCTGGGATTAAAGGCGTGCGCCACCACTACCTGGCTAAGTATTTTGTTCATTTTAAGAGTGTTAATATGAAGAAAGAAACATGATGGAACTTTTTACAAGCACTTTATGTTTTGAAGTTAGAATAAAGAATAAGAATTTACTGTGTCTGGTGTCACTGCACAAAACTTTATATGTTTTTGTGATTGAAGCTAATTAATTGCCATTTCACATAATGTTTGGATATATTATATACTCAAAGCTTATTAACTGGGTCAAATTAGAGGAGCATTTATAGACCATACATTATTATACCGCACATATGTAAAAAAAAAAAACAACATAGGTTTAGTGCTTTACACAGTTTACTAAAAATATAGAGTGGATTTTTACTTCATTTCAACTCTATGAGTGGTATTTCTAAACTACTAGAAAGAACTTAAAATAGTTTGTTCTTCTAACTATTATCAGTATTTGACATAATATTGTTTAAAGTACTCATTGGTCATTTCTGTAACAAGAGAGTTCTTAATCCAGCAATGGCAAACAGCGTCTCTACGTCCCCTGATTAGATAGTTTAGTTTTACCACATTCTGAGAATTTGATGCAACTAGCATGGCAAAAGTTGTCACCTTTAGTCATGGTTCACAGAACTGTGTGCATGTGTATGTATATGTGTCTGCATGTCAGGTGCATGTGTATTATCATGCTGGTGTATGTGTATCATGCTGGTGCATGTGTATCATGTCAGGTGCATGTGTATCATGCTGGTGCATGTGAATCATGTCAGGTGCATGTGTATCATGCCGGTGCATGTATATCATGCCTGTGTATGTGTATCATGCCAGTTCATGTGTATCATGCTGGTGCATGTGTATCATGCTGGTGCATGTGTATCATGTCAGGTGCGTGTGTATCATGTCAGGTGCATGTGTATCATGCTGGTGCGTGTATATCAAGTCAGGTGCGTGTGTATCATGTCAGGTGCATGTGTATCATGCTGGTGCGTGTATATCAAGTCAGGTGCGTGTGTATCATGTCAGGTGCGTATCATGCTGGTGCATATGTATCATGTCAGGTGCATGTGTATCATGTCAGGTGCATGTGTATCATGTCGGGTGCATGTGTATCATGTCAAGTGCATGTGTATCATGTCAGGTGCATGTGTATCATGTCAGGCGCATGTGTATCATGTCAGGTGCATGTGTATCATGCTGGTGCATGTGTATCATGTCAGGTGCGTGTGTATCATGTCAGGTGCATGTGTATCATGCTGGTGTGTGTATATCAAGTCAGGTGCGTGTGTATCATGTCAGGTGCATGTGTATCATGCTGGTGCGTGTATATCAAGTCAGGTGCGTGTGTATCATGTCAGGTGCGTATCATGCTGGTGCATATGTATCATGTCAGGTGCATGTGTATCATGTCAGGTGCATGTGTATCATGTCCGGTGCATGTGTATCATGTCAAGTGCATGTGTATCATGTCAGGTGCATGTGTATCATGTCAGGCGCATGTGTATCATGTCAGGTGCATGTGTATCATGCCGGTGCATGTGTATAATGCCGGTGTATGTGTATCATGCTGGTGCATGTGTATCATGTCAAGTGCATGTGTATCATGCTGGTGCATGTGTATCATGTCAAGTGCATGTGTATCATGTCAGGTGCATGTGTATCATGCTGGTGCGTGTGTATCATGTCAGGTGCGTGTGTATCATGTCAGGTGTGTGTGTATCATGCTGGTGCATGTGTATCATGACAGGTGCGTGTGTATCATGTCAGGTTCATGTGTATCATGCTGGTGCATATGTATCATGTCAAGTGCATGTGTATCATGTCAGGTGCATGTGTATCATGTCAAGTGCATGTGTATCATGTCAGGTGCATGTGTATCATGTCAAGTGCATGTGTATCATGTCAGGTGCATGTGTATCATGCTGCTGCATGTGTATCATGCTGCTGCATGTGTATCATGCTGCTGCATGTGTATCATGTCAAGTGCATGTGTATCATGTCAGGTGCATGTGTATCATGTCAAGTGCATGTGTATCTTGCTGGTACATGTGTATCATGCTGGTGCGTGTATATCATGTCAGGTGCGTGTGTATCATGTCAGGTGCGTGTGTATCATGTAAGGTGCGTGTGTATCATGTCAGGTGCGTGTGTATCATGTCAGGTGCATGTGTATCATGTCAGGTGCATATGTATCATGTCAGGTGCATGTGTATCATGTCAGGTGCATGTGTATCAAGTCAAGTGCATGTGTATCATGTCAGGTGCATGTGTATCATGCTGCTGCATGTGTATCATGTCAAATGCATGTGTATCATGTCAGGTGCATGTGTATCATGTCAAGTGCATGTGTATCATGTCAGGTGCATGTGTATCATGCTGGTGCGTGTATATCATGTCAGGTGCGTGTGTATCATGTCAGGTGCGTGTGTATCATGCTGGTGCGTGTGTATCATGTCAGGTGCGTGTGTATCATGTCAGGTGCATGTGTATCATGTCAGGTGCATGTGTATCATGTCAGGTGCATGTGTATCATTCTGGTGCATGTATATCATGTCAGGTGCGTGTGTATCATGTCAGGTGCGTGTGTATCATGCTGGTGCATATGTATCATGTCAAGTGCATGTGTATCATGTCAGGTGCATATGTATCATGTCAGGTGCGTGTGTATCATGTCAGGTGCATGTGTATCATGCTGCTGCATGTGTATCATGCTGCTGCATGTGTATCAGGCTGCTTGTGTATGTTGTCAAGTGCATGTATATCATGTCAGGTGCATGTGTATCATGTCAGGTGCATGTGTATCTTGCTGGTACATGTGTATCATGCTGGTGCGTGTATATCATGTCAGGTGCGTGTGTATCATGTCAGGTTCGTGTGTATCATGCTGGTGCGTGTGTATCATGTCAGGTGCATGTGTATCATGCCGGTGCATGTGTATCATGCCAGTGTATGTGTATCATGCCAGTTCATGTGTATCATGCAGGTGCATGTGTATCATGTCAGGCGCATGTGTATCATGTCAGGTGCATGTGTATCATGCTGGTGCATGTGTATCATGTCAGGTGCGTGTGTATCATGTCAGGTGCATGTGTATCATGCTGGTGTGTGTATATCAAGTCAGGTGCGTGTGTATCATGTCAGGTGCATGTGTATCATGTCAGGTGCATGTGTATCATGTCAGGCACATGTGTATCATGTCAATTGCATGTGTATCATGCTGGTGCATGTGTATCATGTCAGGTGCGTGTGTATCATGTCAGGTGCATGTGTATCATGCTGGTGTGTGTATATCAAGTCAGGTGCGTGTGTATCATGTCAGGTGCATGTGTATCATGCTGGTGCGTGTATATCAAGTCAGGTGCGTGTGTATCATGTCAGGTGCGTATCATGCTGGTGCATATGTATCATGTCAGGTGCATGTGTATCATGTCAGGTGCATGTGTATCATGTCGGGTGCATGTGTATCATGTCAAGTGCATGTGTATCATGTCAGGCGCATGTGTATCATGTCAGGTGCATGTGTATCATGCCGGTGCATGTGTATAATGCCGGTGTATGTGTATCATGTCAGGTGCATGTGTATCATGTCAAGTGCATGTGTATCATGTCAGGTGCATGTGTATCATGCTGCTGCATGTGTATCATGCTGCTGCATGTGTATCATGTCAAGTGCATGTGTATCATGTCAGGTGCATGTGTATCATGTCAAGTGCATGTGTATCTTGCTGGTACATGTGTATCATGCTGGTGCGTGTATATCATGTCAGGTGCATGTGTATCATGTCAGGTGCGTGTGTATCATGTCAGGTGCGTCTGTATCATGTCAGGTGCGTGTGTATCATGTCAGGTGCATGTGTATCATGCTGCTGCATGTGTATCATGTCAAGTGCATGTGTATCATGTCAGGTGCATGTGTATCATGCTGGTGCGTGTATATCATGTCAGCTGGGTGTGTATCATGTCAGGTGCGTGTGTATCATGCTGGTGCGTGTGTATCATGTCAGGTGCGTGTGTATCATGTCAGGTGCATGTGTATCATGCTGGTGCATATGTATCATGTCAAGTGCATGTGTATCATGTCAGGTGCATGTGTATCATGTCAAGTGCATGTGTATCATGTCAGGTGCATGTGTATCATGCTGCTGCATGTGTATCATGCTGCTGCATGTGTATCATGCTGCTGCATGTGTATCATGTCAAGTGCATGTGTATCATGTCAGGTGCATGTGTATCATGTCAAGTGCATGTGTATCTTGCTGGTACATGTGTATCATGCTGGTGCGTGTATATCATGTCAGGTGCGTGTGTATCATGTCAGGTGCGTGTGTATCATGTCAGGTGCGTGTGTATCATGTCAGGTGCGTGTGTATCATGTCAGGTGCATGTGTATCATGTCAGGTGCGTATGTATCATGTCAGGTGCATGTGTATCATGTCAGGTGCATGTGTATCAAGTCAAGTGCATGTGTATCATGTCAGGTGCATGTGTACCATGCTGCTGCATGTGGATCATGTCAAATGCCTGTGTATCATGCCAGGTGCATGTGTATCATGTCAAGTGCATGTGTATCATGTCAGGTGCATGGGTATCATGCTGGTGCGTGTATATCATGTCAGGTGCGTGTGTATCATGTCAGGTGCATGTGTACCATGCTGCTGCATGTGTATCATGTCAAGTGCATGTGTATCATGTTAGGTGCATGTGTATCATTTCAAGTGCATGTGTATCATGTCAGGGGCAGGTGTATCATGCTGGTGCGTGTATATCATGTCAGGTGCGTGTGTATCATGTCAGGTGCGTGTGTATCATGTCAGGTGCGTGTTTATCATGTCAGGTGCATGTGTATCATGCTGGTGCGTGTATATCATGTCAGGTGCGTGTGTATCATGTCAGGTTCGTGTGTATCATGCTGGTGCGTGTGTATCATGTCAGGTGCGTGTGTATCATGTCAGGTGCGTGTGTATCATGCTGGTGCATGTGTACCATGTCAAGTGCATGTGTATCATGTCAGGTGCATGTGTATCATGTCAAGTGCATGTGTATCATGTCAGGTGCATGTGTATCATGCTGCTGCATGTGTATCATGCTGCTGCATGTGTATCATGCTGCTGCATGTGTATCATGTCAAGTGCATGTGTATCATGTCAGGTG